AAAATTAGTTTTTTGGATCAAGCTCAATATCACAATACCAAGGCACCTCTCCTACCATCGCAACCCTCCCTAGTTGCTCTTCCCGGTTCCTATTTTCTTTTTTTTAACCTTTTAGAGCAGGAGGAACAAATTTTAAATATCGTGGAAATCAATGCAGATATCAGCACTCGGGAATTAGGCCGCCGCGTAGGGATATTAAATTTCCGTTATACTCACACGTGGGCCCAAGAAAATCCTCATACCATTCGTGAAGGTTATTTTCAACAACGTTTTAAAATAAATATTTGGGCGGGTATTTTTGACGATCAGGTAATTGGCCCTTTTGAATTACCCTCAAAGTCTTCAGGAGAAGGATACCTTATCTTTCAGGCCAACGACATACCAGAACTTTTGGAACAGACCTTAGACAACATTCCATTACAACGGCGACAGAATTTGTGGTTTTTTCATGACGGGGCACCACCACACATTTTTGAGGTGTCATTCAGTATTTGAATGAACGTTATCCAAATCGCTGGATCGGTCGCATTGCTCCTAATCCTCGGAAGTGGCCTGCAAGATCTCCTGACCTCAATCCGATGGATTTGGGGAGAATTTAAACGGATGGTTTATGAGGCTGGTCTAACAACAACTGAAGCACAACTTCGCGAAATGAAATTTAATGCGGCTGGAATAATAAATGAACAACTTCGAGGACCTAGAGTAAGAAGAAACTGGGTTTGCCGTGATGAAGCTTGTGTGGAAAGTGGAGGTCGACATTTTGAACACATTCTTTAAATACAAAAAAGTGCAGTGTGGGTTTTAAAAAGAAAAACAATGTATGTATCAAAAACGTGTTCCCTATTTATAAGTGGATTTTTTCAATACGTTCAATAAACTTTCACACACCAGGTGAAGCGCTGAGACAGTTAGTGGTAAGTCCGTTTTTTTAATTGTTTGCATTTTACGAGTACATTATCAAATAATGAAATAATACCTAAGAGCCAAAAATAACAAAATCCATCTTTATTTACACTGCGTTCAGTCGTAAAAAAATGCTGTTTTGACCGCCATGTTATAGAAAATTTTCTCTATCACCCATTTGAATAATGACTATAACAACGTTTCCACCCTGTATGTGTGTTGGAGGAAATATAATCCAGTAAAGATAACATTTTTAGCTGCTTATTTGCGCAATCGGCAATGTATGCGGATTCATCGATATTTGACTATTGATTTCGATGTGCTAGAAGTATATCCAGAAGGAGTTTGATAGGTTAGCAATATCTGGCATAAGTAATCGCAATTGGAGATAGGAAATTGCAGTAATATAATAAGGGTGTTGCCAGGTTCTGCCACAGATACACTACAAACAGTCTCTGGAACACTTCTTATGACCATTTGAGGCAGCATCATCTAAAGAACGCGATTATAACTAAGCCAACACAAGCGATAATTTCTTTGGAGTAAACTCATACAGTGAGGCTCATGTCGTTGTTCTTGATATCAACTGTCACATACTGCCCTCTTGTGCAAGCTACAACATGGTAAGGAGTTGCCAGATTGCACGAAACAGCTGTTGGCCTGTGGTCAGACAAACAAAAGCTATATTACTAGTTGTTCAGTGGCGAGTAAGCCGTATTTACTATAACATCATAATCGGTGGCATCTAGCGGCCACAGTCGCGACTCAGCTGAGAATACAAACTGAAGTATAGTTCTAATCAACAGCTTCCTGTCTTCACTTATGCAGTGGTCGATTCTGATTAAAGACTGCACGTTTTTGTTGTGTTATTTCGAAATTCTTAATGAAGTAGCTAGCAGCAGACAGCAGCTTGTAACCTTCAGCAACACTACTTCCAGTACAACGACTGCTTCATGTAGCGTCCCACAGGGTTCTGTGCTGGGACCACTTTTATTCCTAATACTCGTAAATGACCACCCGGTGTATACGCCTCAGCTATTTGCCCCACAAAGGCGCTGCATCAGGGTCATCGCCGGTCTGATTTATACTCAGTCATGTAGGACGGCATTCATCATCCTGAAATCCTTAACCTCCCATCTCTATAATATTTATCTGCATATGATATGTACATAATGATTTGCATCTCTACAAAACGCACATTGATGCACACAGTTACGATGAACGTAACATCGTTTACAAAGAGCCAGACTATTATGAAACCCGCTTTCATAATGTTCTTCCTGAGGTACTCATTTGAGTATGGAATTTAGGCGTACCTGATCGAAATAATAAATTTTGGGATCTCTCATAATGGTGATGTAGTGTGCAAAATTTACTTTTATTTATTTATTCTATAGTTTTGATAATAAAGGTTTCTGTACAAAATACCACAGCCCGCCACTGGTCGCCTTATCTGCGCTGGGCTCTTCGTGGTGACCTTGGGTGAAAGAGCCCTCACGGGACCTATCCGAATTTATTCCCCTCACTTAAATCGCTTACAAAGACATCATGAAGTTTTTTGTTGCTTGTTGTACGTGTCTCGTAAAATTTTGACACTTAAGATACGGGAAACCAAATTGGCTACCAAAGGACCATACGCAGTGATTTACAGACGTTTGTTTATGGAAAGAACTATTTCACAATGGCTAGTAGTAACAGGAGCTTTTTTTAATGATTTCTAAATGTAATCTCGTAGAAAATAGATTCGGAATCTGGGCATCCGATTTACCTGACAGACGGGCTGTCGATCAGATTGCCAAGAAATAAAGAGCTTTCAATCTATGCATCCGATTTACCTGAGAGACGGGCTGCTGTTCAGATCGCAGCTTGATTTGAGGTGAAAGCGCCTAATAAACGATACCAAATTCATTTTCGAAGTGCAGGAGATGTAAGAACTATCGGACATGAGGAGCTGAATCAAACTACCCAGAGCCGTATTCGGTACCTATGCGAGCGATATCGGTGCTTACGGAAATCTATCACATCGCTGGTCAACCACTACTCGGTGTATCAATGATTAATAATAATAATATTTAATGGCTCGTGAAACATAATATAAAGAATGAGTAGATAAATACAGATGAAACAAGGGTCCATAAAAGGCATTGTCTGTGTTATTAATCTTGCAATTGTGCATAATATTGAAATATGAATAAAAATACAAATACCCAACGAATTATTTGTTGTTTATACTTACTTGTAATGTCTTGCCAGACAAAAAATCCATTACTTTAATATTTTTTTGAAATCGTCCCCAAAACCTTTTATATCGAGAGGTAAATTTACGTATAATTTTGGTCCTAAATAAAGGTCGTTGTGGTATATCAGCCCTGAGTTGGCCTAACGCCCCAAAACGTGATATTTGTGAACTTATTTGAGGGCTAATTAAAGTTTTATTTCAAACACTATATTTTTGGTTTCTTTAAATGTTTATGGAAAGACGCAGTTATTTTTAAGGCGCTTTTATTTCCAAATCGTTTTTTTTTTGCAAAATGGTTTGTACATAGCAAAATAAATGATGGAGACAACTTAAGTTGAATGATCTGCTTATTCCCTTCGATGAAATACAGGTAGAATTTGCAAAACAAATATTAACAATTTTCGTTGCTAAGAAGCTGATTTTTGACGTTTAATGCATTGCTGTGGTAGTTAGCAATTGGAAATGGCTCATGGTAAAGCTGTTTCTGACTAAATAGGAAAAGAGATCATGCACTTGCATTTAAAATGCCAAAATGCTTCTAAAACAAATCGAGGTATACAGTTGAACATATTATTAAATCATACAAAGCAATGGGATCTCTGGCTCAAAAACCCAGAACTGGATGTCGCCCGCGTTATTCCAATACAAACTTAACAGCCTCAAAACGCATTATCAAGGAAAATCGGTGTGCTAATTACGAGTATAACGAATTGAAAATAACATATAATGGAATAAGACAACCACAAAAAATTGTTCAAGAGCAACTTGTCAACGAGCTGCCCAAAAACTGGGATTCAAAACTTACAAGGTAGGCTTAAGTTATTTTTTTAATTATTCGTTTTCAGTTCGGTATTTATGGGCAAAAGGGAAGCCCTTACTAACAAAGATGCACAAGAAAAACAGACTAGCGTGAGCCAAAGAACACAAATTATGGCCTCCTAATCATGGAACTCCAATTGGAGTAATTGGAGTGATGAAGCCAGATTTGAAGTATGAGTTGGTGATAACAACTAAAGAAAAAGTGTTTCAGAATGACTGTCCTAAAAAGAGTCAAGTTTTTGGCTTTTGTTATGAATGAAAACTTACACTTTGTGGAAGGTATTATAAATGCTAATAAGTACAATTATGTGCTTCAAAATAAATGAATACCCCAAATTGCTAGAAAACAATATATCAGTTTTAAAATGGAGGTCGAGTAGTCCAGATCTATCGCCGATTGAAACCTTGTATCTTATCATGAAGAAAAAGCTCCAGCCGAGTCTCGCAAGAAATGTTCCAGAATTGCGAACCCGTCTCTAAGAAATTTGGAATAATTTTACACCAGATGACTGCCAAACATTGGTCTCTATGTCAAGAAGTATCGAAGCAGTAATCATTCAAAAAGGCGATGAAATGCAATGGTGATTTGTTGCTATTTGGTTTCGTTGATTTCTATTAATCGGCAGTTTTTTTTCTTTGTTACAAAAAATGTAGTTAGTATCTTCTGGATTCCGTGTCTGAAAAAATGCGTAGAAAACATGGCGACTACGTAGAAAAATAGCCTAAAGATCAACGTTTCCAATGGTAAATTCCCTTTTCAAATAAAAAATTCCTTGTGTCTGAAAAAAATGTGGGTACCTGATTTTTGACACAACCCTCGTAAATGAAGTCATCCATCTTTGTAGCCTCACAGTCCATGACATAACATAATTATATGGTCAACACTCATATATAAAATCGCCGACAACCAATTTTTTAGTCAACTTTGACGACATAATAACTTATCCTACTTGTCGACTCGTCTCTTGACCGAGGATCCTCCAGAGTAACTTCAGCGGTCTTCGTATAAAAGAAAATATTTTAAAGCGAAAAAACCTCGTTAATTACTACAAACTGAAATAAAAAACTAAATCACATAAACAGTAATGTGAGAGTCGTCCATCTTTGTAGCCTCACAGTCCGCGGCTTGATTCGAAGTAAAAGCGCCTAACAGCGCACTGCCGCACTTTCGTGAGCTTTCATAATTACATGCTGGAAACTCTGCGCTGGCTTAGATCTTGTGCAGAGAAAATTGCATCATCGTAATTCATATTTATTTTGCAGCTAGACGACCCGGTCTTGACTCCGTTACGTTTTCATCAACTTAAAAGTTTCTCGGCCGGTGTATATTTTATATTTTAAGCCAAGGTGGGTGCCTGGGATGACACTAGAAATGGGTTGTTCGCCGTCCAGACTAAATTGAATTTGCAATAGCTGAAATAGGTTGCCTACATCCATTTTGCCTGTATGATACAGATCAGCACCGTTTTTTCAACCTGTGTTGGAAAAATGTATTTGAAACATTGAAAAAATCAGCTAAGAGGATTTGAGATACATCCTCCACCACCCCCACATACATATCTCACCCCCTGATGACAAGGAGCAGCAGGCAAAAAATCAAATATTGGACAATTTTCGTTTTTTTTTTTTAGTTTTTTGTGCCTAGCTCTGCCGTCTCTGGACTGGTTATCAGAAACTACGAAGGTGCTTCATTCCTGGCATAGCGGTAACCTTTATCAAAATTTCATCAAAATCGGAGCCGTACTTTTCAAGTTATAGAAGGGCCAAGGACTATCGGACAGACAGACTGACAGACGGACAAAAATTAGTTACATAGTTTTCCGTAATGTACGTATGATGTACAGGGTGTTTTCAAAGTTGAGTCGTTTATTTTATCTGCTTGTAGGACTCGTTGATATACAAATCACCTGTATAAAAGTTGCATAATATGTAAATTTAAAAAATGTACGTCGTCGTTTACCTAAATTTGGCAAACTTTTTGTGTTATTGTATGATTTTCGGTACGAGTCTTTGGTTCGATCACTTGTATCAGTCTTTTAATAGTGCATATACTTTCATTTGTCTGATTGTTTTGTGCGTAAAAATGGCCCAGCTCGGCAGAAATGAAATTAATTTTGTGTACAGACAAGGCCACATTTACACGAACTGGAGTGCACAATTTCCACAACAAGCATGTAAGTAAATACCATGATTTACGTATGTATTTTGATATGTCATTTAAACTAATAAGCTAATGTGTGGTGTTGAACCTTTTTTTACCAACACAACGATTTTTTACACTTTCACATCTATTTTCCTTAGTACTATAGAGTGTATGTTATATTCTTATAATTTAGAGCATCTTTTTGTACAAAAATCAAAAAAAGACAGCATATAAAACAGCATTCTATTCTAGAGTATTACCACCCAAAATGCAACTTCGAAGTTCTATAAAATAGCAAGCAGAGAGTATCTTAAAGAAAAAATTTTCGTAAAAGTCACATCCTAATCTTTCATTTTAAATAAGAAATGAAGTATTTGCGATATGCGCTAAAGTATAATCTTACTTAGTGTCGCTTTGGTTCGATATAAAAACAGAAGTACCATCCGCATAACGAGTAAGTCTATATTCAATTGTTCTAAATCGTTGATGTATAAGGAGAACAACACTGGACCCAAAATAGATCCCTGAGGAACGCTTATGGTGCTGTCAGTGATTTCATATCTTATGGGCATGCTTGTTTGATATGCACGCATACTGAGACATATTCTGTAAATATGATTTCCTCCAGCAACACGATGGACTGCTTAAGCCATATCTTGATAGTTCGGACAACAGAACTTCATGACTGATGCAGTTAGATGCGCTGCTGAGATCGCAGAAGATCTCAACTGGGCACTCACCTGCATCAATCATTTCAAAAAGAGCTCCATAAAAGTTATGTATTGCTGTTGACGTAGAATTAGTGGACAGACAGGGGACCGACATAGATGAGTGTACAGTGGACCTCCCGTAATCCGACAAACATTATGCAGGGCAGTGTCGGACTATCGAATTTGTCGGATTATAGAGCACTGCCCTATAGTCCGGAATTTTTTACAAAAGAGTACCCTGTAATCCGAAAAATTACACATATATGTTATGTATATGTATGTATGTACTTTGAAGTACAAATCATACATAGTTTATGTATGTTGAATTTAGTAAATTAAATTACAATAGAGAGCTTACGTTTTATTATAAAATTAAGCATAAATGCACATACATATGTAGCAAAATAATCAAGAATTATTAATCAAAATCATTAATGAATTTATCAAATTATGAAGCTTGGAAATATTCATCAATTTTTTTTTCTTTAACGTTGTTATAACGCGAGATCAGAGCTTTGTCCATTAGTCTTCTCAAAAGTAAAAGTTCGTTGTAGGATGTACCATTCTCTTCAGCTCATTGTAAACCTAGCTCAAAGGCATTAATTGCGTCTTGTGCTGTGACTTGTGGAGCAGTTGCAATCACGTCATCGTTATTTTCGTGATTGTTTGTTGTATAATTAGAAACCTCTTTTATAATCTCTTTGTCAGACATTTCATGAAAAACATTTTCCTCTTTATTCATTCCACGGCACCTAGATTTCCAAATCTTCCAGACTTATCTGTGTTTCAGTAGTGACTTGTTCTATAACTAACGAAGTAACACTGATTTGTGGAGTGTTGCTAGGAGTGGTGACTATATCTGCCCATAACTTTTTCCAAGACGATTTCATAGTTGACGACGGTAACGCATTCCACGACTGACAAAAAGCAAAAACCAAGTCTTTCATATTAAATTCTTTTGAAGTTTTTTCTATTGGTTGGTGTTTTGATACGGCTCTCAGAAGTAGGATTTTCTTATAGTCTTGCTTGACAAGCTGAATGATATTCTGGTCCATTGGTTGAATCAGTGCAGTGCAATTTGGCGGAAGAAACATCGCAGTGATGCATTTACCCTCAGTTGTTAGTTCTTCTTCAGACGGATGACCGGGAGCGTTATCAAGAAGCAACAACGCTTTTTGAGGAAAATTATGATCTTTTAACCATTTTCTAACTTCAGGTACGAAGCATTCATCAAACCACTTTTTGAAAATGTCTTTTGTCATCCATGCACTATTTTGTCCGTAATAGTGTTATAAATCAATGTTTTTGAATGCCCGTGGTTTATTAGATTTCCTAAAGACCATCATCTTAAGCGCGTGTGTGTCCGCAGCGTTAGGACATGGTAGTATGGTTACACGCTCTTTACTTACTTTTCGTCCAGGTACGGATTTTTCGTTACAAGAACCGAAAGTTTTGTTAGGCATCATACGCCAAAAAAGCCCCGATTCGTCTGCATTGTACACCTATGACGGGTCAATATTTAAATCGTTCAACTTTTGCAAAAATATTAATTTAAAGGGCTCTATGCAGGTGGCATGGTTAGAAAGTTTCTCTCCTGTAATAATCATCAAACGTATGCCATGACGACTTTTAAAACGTTCTAGCCATCCTTTGCTGGCCACAAAATCTTTTTTGTTATTTCCTTATAAAAACGCTTAGCTTTCATGGCCAACATGATTCCTGAAATTTGTGCATGCCTATTTCTTTCCTGAAGAAACCACATGTACAAAGCTTCTTCCACTTCTCGATGTTCAGCTTTCTTGAGTGTCTGTCTCTTGCCTGGCCCGCAGTCAGTAGTTGACACGAACCTCTTGATCCTCTCGTGGTTTCTGTTAATGTCATAAATTGTAGATCGGCCTACGCCGTATTCACTTGCTAAACTACTGAAAGTTTCATTGCGATTTAAGCGGTCTAAAATATCACATTTTTCTTTAATTGTCAATGTTTTGTGCTTTCGCTTCTGAGTTTGTGATGACATTACTAGATACTATACTTAATACACAATGAATAAATAGTAAACAATGAACGCACGCTAGTCCGTACCGCTATCACAAGTAGTCAAATTCAAACTAAGTAAAACAATGCTTACGCGTCGAGCACGATAGCGGTGGCGCGTACAAGTTGTAACCTGTTCAAACCTGCGTGATCTACATTAGCGAAGATTGTCAAATACGTATGTATGTAATACATATTCAAAGACATGTCGGATTGCAGGGGGCGCCGGATTAGACAGGGGCCTGATTATCGGGGGTCCACTGTATTTTATTTTGTAATGTAGAGATAATATGACATCAAAAAAATTATGTCTCATTCCCATCTTCTGCGATTGCGATGGTTCCGCACCAGTGACAAGTAAAAGTAAAATTTATGCCAGTGCTGCAAAATAACTCAAGATGTTGTGAAGTATTTTCCATTGTGCCAGAGACCGTGCTTCCTAAATCTATTCCCTAATTATTATAGAGTATAAAACAAATCATTTATCCCAGCCACCGACACGAAGAGCTTTCGTAAACAACGCTAATAATTGAGAAACACGTTTGCTGGGTGTTGCGGCCCTCCGACAAATTAATTTTGCTTTTCACTATACTGTAATTAATTCTGCTCAGTTTAACGATTACTCATTCACGGTATAATTTGTGGAATAAGTCACGTGCAGTTGAATGTCATCAGAGGTATGAATTTGTAATGCAAGCGTTTGCGTTGTGCAACTCTGAAGCTCGCCGAGAGGTTGGCTACGTTGGATTTTACTTATACCGAGTCTGCAGCGTAGGCAGAAGCCTAAATACCAGGGCACTTAATCGAGGACGAGGTCGGACGCGTCCAGATTTCCAATTTCCTGGGATAGTACCGGATTCGCAAGACATCTAGAAGATATATAATAATCATAATAATATTTATTCACTCAATGTACAAAGATAACAAACAATATGAGTAAATAAATATAAAATCAAAACAGGCCCAATAGAAGGCATCGCCTGTACATGGACCAATAATTTTAAGTTGCAACTGTAGAATGCAAATGACAAAAAAGGACAAACTTAGCTACAGTAGATTATATATTTACTTGATGTTCGTATTTATGAGTTTATGAATTTCAGTCCTAGATATAGAATGTAGCCACTTTTTTAAATTTCTTTTGAAACAATTTCCGAAACGTAAAT